TGCAGCTCCAGGTGTGGAGCCCTTCCAGAAACAAACTCTTCTCTCCCACTCTGGACAGAAGGCCCTGTCCATGTAGGAGGCTCTCACTGCCATTCACACACCTTGACCCTTCACTCCCCTTGTGAGACTCAGAGCAGCCCTTCTGAGAACAAAGAGCAGTGAACATCTCTGGAGCCACCAAATTCCCCTCGAGTGAGAAACAGACTCCAGAATGCAGGTTTTCAGGATGTGAACCCCGGCCCAGAGCCTTACCCATGGATGATGTACCCATGCAGTCCCCAGGGTGCCTTTGACCTCTTATTCTGTAACTTCACATATCAATTAAAGTGTTGAGGGAAGATGGCAATGACCAACACCAGCTCAAAGCTGTCCATCAATACAGTGAAGAAAACAGCCTCTGAAGTCAGCTTTCAGTGTGTGAAGGGCGGGCTGCCCTATTACAGGGCTCTCTCTGTGAATGTCACTGTCCCGTTGATCAGCCTTGAGTGAACAACTGGACCTCCATGGCTACCATTTCCTCTCTTGCAAACCATCATGCTAGTCAGCCCCAGCACCCAGGACTGACTCAGAAGTCCATGTCTTGGTGAGCAGCGGGATCTTGGCTGCAGTTCAGCTGGGTAGGAAGTGCCCTTTGGCTTCTGCAGCAGAGCTCACTTTCTGTACACCACCCACTCACAGGCCCGTGGGACCTGTCTATCTGTCCTTGGGCTGTCTCCCTGTGCCCGGGATGTGGCAGCAGTGGCCAGCATCCTGAGCCCCTACCCTCTGTGAGGCTACCGCGTCCTGGCTGCTGGGTCCTCCTCTCACCCTCCCGTCCCAAAACTGAAGTTTGAGCAGCTTTGTCAGCCCCTCCCAGCTTTTGCCTACATTGCATGCCTGCCTCCCCTTTCACCCTCTCAGCTGAGTCTGCAAATGTTCCTGCTACTTAGGCTTTTGTAAAACAAACACCAGGAACACAGGGAACTCGGTTTTTCCTGGGGCTGGGGCTGCCAAGAACACACCCTGAGATGCTGGGGGAGGAAATGCCCATCTCAAAACCTGCGCAACCCTGTCCAGACCTGCACGTGTTTAGGGGGTGCAAGCCGACACTGACATCCGAAGTGAGCAGGGGCTTAGAGAGAAAGCCCCCCAGAAATGTGCTCTTTTCCCACAGGGTGCAGGTGACACCTGCTCGGACACATTGGTTTGTGGACACATTGGCTCATAGGCATATCTCACCCCAGACCACTGAAGCAGCGGAGACACTTCAGTGATACAATGATCTCCCTTTAATAATCTTTAAATTTGAAATAGTGACGCTCCCCTCCCCCCCCCCTTTTTTTTTTTTTTGAGATGGAGTCTTGCTCTGTCTCCCAGGCTGGAGCACACTGCCACAATCTCGACTCACTGCACCCTCTGTCTCCCAGGTTCAAGCCATTCTCCTGCTTCAGGCTCCCGAGCAGCTGTGACTACTGGTGCGTGCCACCACGCCCAGCCAATTTTTTGTATTTTTAGTAGAGATGGGTTTTCACCATGTTAGCCAGGATGGTCTCGCTCTCCTGACCTCGTGATCCGCCTGCCTTGGCCTCCCAAAGTGCTGGGATTACAGGTGTGAGCCACCGCGCCTGCCAGTGATGTCCTTTTTTTGTAATCTTTCACATAGACAACAGCTACATGTATCCTTGTTCAATTATTTCCTCACAGCCCCTTGTACCTCCCCTTGCCTCTGGTTCTTGGGTCTGTTTCTCTGGACCACACTTCATCTTATTCATAGATCATGGAATAATCTGGTTAGATTGTGAAAGGAAAGACTCCAGTTACACACCCACGGAAAGAGAGCCACAGCCTCATTCCCTCCCTCGAGAGCACCCCCAGCCCTGGGTTCTTAGGACTTCATTTCACAGCCCTCTGGTCACTGACCATGCTGGGCAGCCTCAGTTTCCTGCCCCTGCCATTTGGGCCCTCTTTCCTCAGTGACATTACACCCGGTGGCTTCAGACTTTCTTGACTACCTCAGTGAGAAGCTACTTTATGCATCATCAGCATACACAAACACACACAAGTGGGAAGTAGGTGTAAAATGGAACCAAAGTCTTCATGAGACGGTGCACCTTCACCATCTATTCTGTTCCACTTCCCTTTCTAATGGCAGTCATAATCTTCCAAATTGAATTTGCTCTCCACTGATAGGTTGCTGTTTGAGAAACAAGCCTCTAAACCATCCTTCAAGGGATCACAGCACAGCAACCACTCCCAACTCTGTTCCTTGGGCCCCTCCTCTGAGTGCCATTATTCTCACTGCCTGGATTCACTCAGTCAGTCAATCAACAAACATGTAATGAGGGACAACTGTGCAGATCCATGCTCTTCATGACAGGGTTCCAGGCCAGCAGCAACAGCAATGCCTGGTTGTCCATTGTGTGCCTGGGGTCCCTCACATGGGAAACTTGCTTGCAGTGGCAGATGCCCTGAGGCTCATGTCTGACCCATGTCCAGGATTCGCCAGCCTGACCATTGCCCTGGGGCTGTGAGCCCACTCTTGTGTTCCTCCCGCCCACTGGGAACCAGGGAAACAGCCTGGGCAACCCCTAGTTCTTCTAGTGGAAGGTGCAAATTCAACTCAGCCCCCACACATGCAGAGCTGCACACACACCACACACACACCTACATGTCTGCATCTGCATACATACACCTACCAAGACTCACACACGGGACATTATCCCTGGACACATGCCTACATACCTGTACACACCCATGTACACACACCTACACCCCCCATCTACACACACCTGTGCACACCCACGCACACAACCCCACCCACATGAGGGACATTACACCTGCACACACACCTACATACCTGGACACACCTTTGCAAACACACTTGCACACACCCACGCATGCAAACACCTATGCATGTGCACCTACACATACACCCCTCCACACATCTGCACACACATATCCCACACACTTTGCACACATGCCCATCTGTAGACGCACACCTACACACATCTGCACACACCCACCTGTGCACACGCGTCCACCCATGCACACCTGCACACCTGTACACACACCTGCACACACCTACACACACACCTGCGCACACATGCCCATCTGTAGATGCACACCTACACACATCTGCACACACCCACCTGTGCACACACGTCCACCCATGCACACCTGCATACCTGTACACACACCTGCACACACCTACACACCTGTACACACACATCTGTACATACACCTGCACATACCTGTGCACACACACCTGCACATACACACACCTGTGTAGGTGGAGGACCAGTACTTTTGTTACCTGGGGAGCTCCCTTCCTTAGGCCCCTCCAAGCTGACCAGCTGCTCTCTACCCAGGTGGGCAGCTCTTGTCCCAGAACTCTCCTTGGAATCCCCTCAGGGTGGTGCTGTGTGTGCTGGACCCCAGGTCATCTGTCTTGGTTTTGAACCATTTTCCACAGCAGCTTCCAGAGGAGGGGCTTGTGACTCTGAAGACATCTTTATTATGCTCTTCATGGCTCGTTCTCCAGGTATCGGATCCTAGGTGGAATTCATTTTCCTTGGGAACCTCAACCGCTTCACTCTACTGCTTTCATGTTGTTGAGAAGCCCAAGGCCTTTTTATCTCTGTCCCTTTGCCTGAGAGCTGATTTTGTTTCTTTCTGAAAGCTATTTAGAACTTTATTCAGTGTTCTAAAATTTTGTGATGATGTGGTTTGTAAGGGACTTCTTTCATTTACTGTGTGGGTGGGTATCTGTGGCGCCCATATGACCGAGACAAAGAAATGGAAAATGGCAGGGAAAATGTAAGAAAATTAGAGGATCAAACCAGGCTGTCCAAAAGAGGGTCCAGAAAAAGAGAACCAAAGACACCAGGGACAGAGCTGCCAGAAGCAACCTGGGAAAGTCCCCAGGTCTTAGGAGCATTGGCCAAGCTCCTAGGTTCCACTGTCTCGTCCATCTCTCCCAAGTTTTTTATTTTGGTAATCCTTTTTTTTTGGTTTTCATTTCAAAGAGATTTTTTCTTGATTATTTTTCATGGTATTCTGTTTTTATTTTATGGATGTACTATCTTTTCATACATCTCTGACAGTGTATTAATGATAAGTTTTTATTTTATTTATTTATCGTTTTTTCTTGGAGACAGACTCTCGCTTTGTTGCCCAGACTGGATACAACTTACTTCAAAATGCTTTAATTTATACTACTGCAATCCATAATTTATATGTGCAATACATAATTATACCTGGCATTTTTACCTTCTCTATCTCAAGTATTTTGATCAAATTATTAGGCTCTTAAAGCTGACGCTTATAGGAGAACCCTGGCTTAAAGTACTTGCTATGTTGTACACAATAAATATGTTGAATTTTATCTGTCAATTAAAAAAATTCATGCAATTGAAAAAGCCTAATAAGGTACCTGCTACGGTTCAAATGCTTCTGTCCCTTCGATGTGCAGTGCAAGCGTTGGGAGGTGAGGCCTGAAGGGAGGTGTTTAGGTCAATCTGCCCTTGTGAATCAGTGCTGCCACACAAAGGGGCCCAGGGAGTGGGTTCGCTCTCCTGGTCTTCCACCATGTTAGCACCCAGCATTCCAGGCGCCATCCTGGAAGCAGAGAGCAGGCCTGACCTGCCAGCACCTCCGTCTTGTTGTCCCCAGCCTTCAGAATTTCAAGAAATAAGTTTGTTTTCTTTACAAATGACCCAGTTTCAGGCATTCTATTACAGCACCACAAAACAGATGGGCACGATGCCCCTTAGGGAAGTCCTTGTGAGGCTCAGATCTTCACCTGTGCGGTTTTCTAAAATGGGGCACATAATCACCAAAATAGACGTTTAAATATCAAAAGTTATAACTTATCAATTAACACTGCATTAATTTGGTGTGTTGGAGAATAGCATGTTAATCTAGAAATCATCTTAGTAAAAAAAAATTGGCTGAAATTTCGTGTAAAGATTAACTCAACACAAAAAATTAATAAAAAGATTTTAATAAATTTCAATTAATTATACCCTGATCATAAATTATCTTTATTAAAGAATACATATTCTTGCGATTTAAAACCAAATATTTTAAGTGACATAACTAATAGAAATTGACATGAAATTATTTCATTTAAAATAGTTACAATAAAAGGCAAACAGACATCCATATTTGCCTCATTTTAGAAAACATAGGCTTTAAGAATCAAAAGTAAGCTTCCAAGCTCACTGCTAGGATTACAACTTCACATTACAGAAATGTTTAATAACAAATATTGACCAATAGATTATAATTCTGAAGTTGTACTTTTTTTTTGTTTGTTTGAGACGGTGTCTTGCTCTGTCGCCCAGACTGGAGTGCAGTGGTGCGAACTCAGCTCATTGCAAGCTCCGCCTCCCGGGTTCACGCCATTTTCCTGCCTCAGCCTCCGGAGTACTGGGACTACAGGCACCCGCCACCATGCCCGACTAATTTTTGTATTTTTAGTAGAGATGGGGTTTCACCATGTTAGCCAGGATGGTCTTGATCTCCTGACCTCGTGATTCACCCGCCTCGGCCTCCCAAAGTGCTGGGATTATAGGCGTGAGCCACCACGCCCAGCCAGAAGTTGCACATTTTAAAATGCCTTTTAATTTTGCTTCTTTACTAAAAAAACTATGATGAACTCACAATAGAAAATTAATAATAATTAATTTCAGGGAAAAAAAAGGCACATCCAGGCAACACATTCAAGGCGACTGGTAAAATGCAGCGTCCCGGGTCTACTGCACATAATCAACTGACTGCAAATAAACTACTCTGGAAAATTCTAAAATGGGACAGGAATATTCTGTAAAAACCAGGATAACACGACTGCACCGACACTTTGCTAGAGAGCTGTTCTGTTGCCAAGGTGCGAGCTTCCCAGAAGGAGCAGCTGCTGGCCATTTAAGCGCACACTCCCCACAGATGCTTCCCTTCCAAGGTCCATCATCTCCGTGCATCAGAGGCTGGACCGTCTCTCTGGTCTGGGCACACACCTCATGATTGCAGCTCTCCACAGCACCGGGGCGAGTAAGAGGCTGAGCGTGGTCACACTCAGTATAAGGAGGTACACCTGCAACAGCAAAGTGCAGAGTGGGTCACAGACACTGTCAGGACTTGCACCTGCAATAGGAAAGCACAGGGCTAGTCTCACTGAGCTCGGAGGGACGCCTGCAAAGCTAGAGTCCTGAGGCTGAGCGCAGTCACGCTGAGTGCTGGGAGGGATGACTGCACGGGTGGGTGGGGGGTGGAAGCTGAGCGCGGTCACGCTGAGTGCTGGGAGGGATGCCTGCACATCATAAACTCACTACTATCTCTTTAAAGCACATCGAAGTACAGCCAGAAGTTGAGGACACTGGGATGCAGGAGGGGCTGTGATTTGAAGATCAATGATGCATGGTTAGTCCTGATGGGCCACAGGGTAACAGCTTTAGCCTGTGTTTGCCTGAAGGCCAACCCCGGGCTGCAGCACAAGTGAGCCTGCCCTACAGCTTCCCTGACCCCGGGGATGCGGCCTTGGGTCAGGCCGCAGGTAGAGCTTCCTGTAAGCAATTCTATTTTTCAGCAATTACTTCCACTGCACTTAACACCTGGACTTCTACCCGCCTCACCCTTACAAAATGCAAGGAGACAAGCCCGTGAATCTGAATGCCCACGGCCATCCCAGTGTCCACAGGAGCTTCCACCCAGCTCTCAGGGCACGCTGGTATTTCAGTTTCTTGGGTGATACTTATGTGCACACTGGCAGTTAAGCTTTAAAAAGTCAGTTTTCTTTCAGAAGAAATATCTGACTACAATTAGAATTGTTGTAAAAAGTTAATGCAACAGTTCAAGTAGTACTAACTGCACCTTTCCTCTGAAAACGTCACATGCTGGATGAGCAGAGAGCAGCCAGGCCTCTGTGTGCCCACCTGGAGGAAGACCCTGCCCCCAGGCTGCCAGCCACCTTCGCCACACCTGCCTCAAACCCAGAGTGCAGCCCGTGCTGCCCAAGAAGCGCTTTGCGGGGGAAACCACTCACCTCCCGAGAGATGACGCCCGCTCTTCGTGCCCGGCTCCCCAGGACAAAGGAAAACTCGCTGACCTGGGCAAGCCCCGCGGAGACGATCCACTTGATGTATTGGCTGCTCCTCGGCAGAATGAGAGACAGGACCAGCACCGCCAGGAGAAACTGCAAGAGAGGTTCATCACGCCACCGCTGAAGACCGGACCCACACAGAGTTAAACACACACGAAAGAGAGAACCCAGACAAACCACAGGGACGCTGCGATGGTCCCCGAATAACACACCAACCAGGGAAATGCACAGAAGCACTCCAAATACCCGAAGGCACCAGACACATGCAAAACATCTTAAATAATCCACACAGAACAAAAAGGCAACATTAAGGGTTTAGGTTCATTAGCAGAAAATAAGCCTTGCCCTTGCCCCCCGGCCCCCGCTCCCCTGCCCTCGTCCCAACCAAACTAGATTAATAGCATTAAGCATGGGGTACTCAAGTTGGAAATTTCTTTTTCATACAGAGAGATGCGTGTCTCTGGGCTGAGCAGCTAAAAGCTGGTGGAGTGGCCCAGCAATCATCATAGATTCTGGCTCCTTAAAATGGAAATCATCTAAGTCACTGTTTATGAGGCAGAAAGCCACTGGTTGCTGACTGCGTCACCACACCTTCAGTTCAATGTGGACACAGGCAGCTCGTGACTGGCAGTCATGCAGGACAGACAAAGTGCCTACACCATTCTCAGGTCTTTAAAAAGCACATCTGCATCTGTCAGAAGAGGACAGGTCGGACTGCGGCCAAGGCCCGTCCTGAGGGTCCCAAAAGGTAGTTCCCCCTTTTAAACACCCTCAATTCCGAAACAATCGATCACATGGACAAACCCAGACCACCCAGCCTAATCTACATCTGCCTCCCCCGGGGTCCAGTGGCCCTCCTCCGAGACAAGGGACAGGGCCAGCTCTGCAGGCTTGATGTGGGCCCCGCTGGAAACCAGGGCCACAGGGAGGGCTGTGCTGGGCCTGCAAACTGCGAGGGGCGCGGACCCTTCCAGCCCATACCTTCATGACCACCACTGACAAGGTGAGGAACACCAGCACCGTGAGCTCGTACACCACAAATGTGGGGAACACGTGGAGCCCTGTTTGGAACAGGACAGACATGTTACAACCACAGGACAGCCTCCCCCAGTGCACACCATTTCTCACAACTTCAGTGTGTCACTTGCTTCAATACAGGAATTGAAATCCTAAATCCTCCCAAGCGCACTTGTGAAAGCAGCAGCAAATGCTAAACAGCCGTCCCTTTCCTGAGTGAACCGGGGAAAAGGCTGCCCCAGGGTGACCTGTCTGATGTGGTGGAATCCCAGCTCCACTCCCTGCAACGGGCCTCAACTGCAGAGAACACAGCAAAACACACAGAGGCAGCACTCGGTCTGGCGCTCCTTCAGGAAATATTCCAGCTGAGGTGCAGATGATCCAGGAGCCCAGCAGCCCCACAGTGCCCAGGAGTGCCACGCTCACAGGACGTCTGTGGTCAGTGTTCCTTTCCCTGCTTTATTTGGCTCACACATTTTGAAAAACAATGGGAAACACTGTCTCTACGTATTTCTTCTCTCTGCTCTCAGGGAGCTCTGAAACCGTGTGGCTGCCCACTGGGCTGTCCCGCTGAGTGACGCAGACGGGGTCGGTGGTGCTGGGGCTGGGCTCAGCTCTCCAGTCACACCCTGGGGCTGCCCGGCGATGCACGTCTGCCCTCGGAGGAACCCGGCAGCCCAGAGGCCTCCTCTTCATTGGAGGGACCCAGACCCCAGGGTTAAGTGCATGGAACAGACCCATGACCTTTCTGCCATTCACAAACCACTGTCTCTACCTGACCCACAAACACAAATGTAAACATTTGCCTTTTTCCTCTTGCCCCGACCCAGGTTCTCTTGCGCTTGAGGGCTGCCTTCCCCAGCCGCCCAGTCTTCTAGCCATGGCCCCTCCTCCTGGGTCTGGGTCTCAGAGCTGCCCCCTCCATGCCCATTCTGGCCCCACCGTGTCCCCTTCATCAGCCCCAGCCCCATGACGGCCTGGGGTCCACCTCCCTCTTGCCCCAGCTGTCAGCCAAGCCCTGGCCCTAGTCCTGTATCCCCCCAGGATGTCTGTGCCTCTGTCCTGCTGCAATGCCCGGTCCAGGCCACCTGTGGCCACATCGGTGTCTAGGAAGTCACTACCGTCACAGCCCCACGTCCACGCCACATGATTGAGACAAGCTCACAACAGTGTGTGCCACAGGGGATGTTCCCACCCCTCCCCAAAGGGGGCCTCACATCACAGCCACACAGGTACCGAGGGCTCCCTACCTTGGGCGTACCAGACTGTGTCTTCTCCCTGCTGCTGCCCCGAGGAAAGCCTCGCCTTCATCTCCAGCCCCACTGGCTTCCTTCCTGCTTGGGAATGTCCTGTTCCAGAGACTCCAGGCTTCCTTCCCACCTCCTACCTCTGGACTTTTCCACGAGCCTCTCTTCCTCCCCAGCACGCCCTGAGCCTCCACCTCTGCACCTGGCGCATCCCTCACCCCGGCCAGTCACAGATGACCTGGAGGCTCCTGTGCTCTCAGCTGAGCTGGGCGCCTGTGTCCCTGTATCTGCCCCCACCCCACCCTGGGCTGCAAGCTCCTTTGAGGCAGGGCTGCCCTGAGGACATGGCTCACTCACCCCTGCCTGAGCTCAGAGCTCCTAGCCCACGGTCGGAGGGGGAGTGGGAGGCAGTGAGTCAATAATTATGGAGCTGAATGCATTCCAGTCAGTCCCCAAAACAGCAATCAAAGTGAGAGACAGGAAACCTCCCTTCACTTTCTTTAATGAGCTATGCTGACTTTTCTATGTAGGGTCATTTATTCTCAAAACAAATATCAAACCTATACTTGGTGTAGCATAATGAGAAACTGTGTGGGCTCTGGGCTCAAGTCCTGGGTTCCCAGAGCCCACCAGCCCTGTAGCGCCCAGAAGTACCGCAGTCACTAGCTGGACCCAGGTCGATGTTTCAATCTGTGTGTGCCTCAGTTTCCTCATCTGTGAATGTCGATTTGGAGGCGAAGTAAATGAATATGCCATCTGAGTTGTGTGCCCGGCCCAGGGCTGTGCTAAGGACGCTGCCTGCACAGGCACCAGGCCACGGTATGAAGGTGAGCGAGGCTGGCGGGGGTGCACACCTGCGTCCACCAGGGAGGGATGCCCAACGGCAAGGCAGCTCCCAGCACTGTCCCAGAGCCAGTGGTGCCTGCTTCTGAATGCGGGAAATATGAGGAGCAGAGGATGAAATCCTTGCTGAAAATTTCACAAGGCACACCAAATGACTGACATTGTCGGTAAAGCTGGAAGTGACTAGGAATTAGGGTGCTGGGCAGGCGTCTTCCACAAAGGCCAAGATGGAAAACCTGCTGTGGACTGAGTGTCCTGCAAACTCCTATGTTCAGGCTCCAGCCCCAGTGTGGCTGTATCTGGAGACAGGGTCTGCAGGAGCTACTCAAGGCAAAATGAGGCCATAAGCGTGAGAACCTAATCTCTCTGCGCAGGCCATGGCAGCTGAGCCACAGATGACACAGCACGGAGGCAGCATCTGTGGAGCAGGCACGGCCCTCGCCAGACACCTGGATCTTGGACTTCCAGCCCCCACAACTGTGAGAGATAAGCATCTACTATTTGAGTTGCCCAGTCTGGAGAATTTTGTTGATGGCCCGAGCTAAATAAGTAGCACAACAGCGGCCACTGATAAAGAGTAAATGAGCAAGCGTGACTGTTTCCATAAAGCTGCATTTATAAAGGCAGGTGGTGAGCAGGCCTTGGGCCGCAGCTGGCCAAACCCTCATCTAGTGGGAAGAGCACCTGCTCTGAAACCTGGGCCAGGGCCACACTGCCACGCGCCGTCCACAAGACCCCGACCTTGCTCTGTGGCGCCTCCTGGACCATCCTTCAGCACAGAAGCCCTTCCTCGCTCGGGGCCTAAAGATTGCCCTTCTCCTTTCATACCCTCCAGATGCAGCCTCAACTCAGAAGCACAGCCTGGGCCTCACCCGGCAGGCACGAGCCTCAGGGCTGGAACCCGAGAGCTACGCCTGCTGGCCTGCAGGTGGCTGTGGCTGACCTGCAGCAGAGTCTCTAAGGCTGCACAGGGCAGGCAGCCCGGACACATCTGCTGGAGCCGGGAGTTCCACCCGGGCTTCTGCCGCCCTGAAGTGGACATCAGGTCCCACGCACAGAGGCAAAGCTGCCATCTGAAGCGGGCAGATGCCGTCTATGTGCTGCCTGGACTCTAGAACAAAAATAAGGTCCTGGCCGAGTTAGAGAAAAAAATGAGCTATAAACAAGTTTCTCAGACGGCAGAAAAATTAACTTGAATTCCCTGATATACTTAGTACAAAAAACTAGAGCACAAACACGTAGAATTATGTGAATTGAAAGGGTTCTCAATACAAAAGAACTCTAGTTTGAAGATAATTGCAAGTATGTCTTTGTAAATAACATATTTATGAAATTTTAAGATTTTTAACAAGAGCAGCTCTCAAACATGCATGTGCAACAAAGCCCTGGCTGACAAGACACCGGGTCATGGCCAGGGCAGCCTGGGGCTGGGGTAACATGGGAAAAATCAGGTCAGACCTGATCCATGTTATTAGTCCTCATCTAAAAGAAGTGAAAGGAAGATCAGGAAATCAGTTTATTTAGCTTCCTGAGGAGGCGTCACCAGGAGTGAGGGCAGGGGGCAGAGGGAGGAAGCGGGGGTCATACACAGGGAGGGCGGGGGGCAGGGGGAGGAAGTGGGGGTCACGGACAGGGAGGGTGGGGGGCAGGGGGAGGAGGCGGGGGTCACACACGGGGGGGCAGGGGGAGGAAGTGGGGGTCACGGACAGGGAGGGTGGGGGGCAGGGGGAGGAGGTGGGGGTCACGCACAAAGGAAGGGAGGGTGGGCGGGGGGCAGGGGGAGGAGGTGGGGGTCACGCACAGAGGGTGGGCGGGGGGCAGGGGGAGGAGGTGGGGTCAACAGAGGGAGGGCGGGGGAGGTGCTCCCGGGACACAGTGGCTCATAAGGCTGCACTGGGGTCAGGAGGTCACGGAGCCCCTGCTGAATGGTCCTATTTCACCTGCGACAAGGGCCCCAAGCCTCCCAACTCTGTGCTGCTTTCAGGACTGCCTCGGCTATTTATGGCCTTTGAATTTCCACATAAAATTCAGAATCAGCTTTTGAATTTCAGTTTTGTTGAGGTTGTGCTGAGTCTGTGGCCCCTGTAAAGCACAGGGCATCTCAGACCCCTGCCAAGTGGACAGCTGCCAGGGACGTGTCCCGACGCCAGACCCCTTGTGATTCCATCCCTTTCAAGTCACTACTCCAGGCTGCTCCACAGACCCCAACAAAGGGCCCATCTCAGTATGCTCAATTTAAATTTTTTGTGTCAAAATTAGTATTTCCTCCAAATTTGCCACTGACATGTTAGTTTCCATGGCCGACCCTGAGCTCCCAGGACTTGCCCTGTGTGGGCACCAGTGCCCGTGATGAGGGGGAATGAGAACACGCATTCTCCCCTGAAGGTAATCTGGCTGCTTTCGATGCCCACCGACAGCACACATCTCGGCGGCAATAAAGCATGGCAGTGACCAGCAATCGTGTGCATGGCAACAATCTTCCTCTTGCAGAATAAAGAGCCCGAGTAGCCAAAGCAACTCCAAGCAAAAGGAACAAAGCTGGAGGCAGCAGAGGCCACCTGACTCCAAACTCTAGCACAGACTACAGCAACCAGAACAGCACAGCACTGGCACAGAAACACAGGCCATCGGGACAGGTAGAGGACCCAGAAATAAGGCCGCACACCCACAGCCATCGGCTCTTCCATAAAGCCTACGATAACAAGCACCAGAACAGGACTCCCCATTCAACAAACAGTGCTGGGATCGCTGGCCAGCCACACGCAGAACACGGAAACCGGACCCCCTCCTAACACTACATACAAAATCAAGTCAAGGTGTAATAAAAACTTATATGTAAAGCTGAACACTATAAAATCCCTGTAAGAAAACCTCTGAACATCGGCCTTGGCAAAGGTTTCATGAAGAAGACTGCAAAAGCCATCGCAACAAAAACAAAAATTGACAAGTGAGATCAACTAAACTAAGGAGCTTCTGCCCAGCAAAGAAATGCTCAGCAGGGCAGACAACCTACGAATGGGAGAAAATACTTCCAAACTATGGATCTGACAAAGGTCTTGTATCTATAATCTAGCAGGAACTTAAACAGATCTGCAAGCAAAAAGCAAACAACCCCATTAGGAAACAGGGAAGGACAAGAATAGACCCTTTTCGAAAGACACTGACACGGCCAACACAACACGTATATGGAAACGATGCTCAACATCTCTGGTCACTAGAGAAATGCAAATCAAAACCACAATGAGATACCATCTCACACCAGTCAGAATGGCGATTCCAAAAAGTCAAAAGGCAACAGATGCTGGCGAGGTTGTGGAGAAATGGCAACACTTAGACAACCATTGGTAGGATTGTAAATTAGCCGCGATGGAAACCAGTCTGGAGATTTCTCAAATAACTGAAAACAGAATTACCACTGGACCCAGCAATCCCACTGCTGGGTCTGCATCCAAAGGAACATACATCCTTCTGCCAAAAGACACAGGTACTCACATGTTCATCACCGCGCCTCTCACAACAGCAAAGACATGGAATCGGCCCAGACTGTGAATTCCAAGGATCCCACTGTCCATCAACAGTGGACCAGATGAAGAAGACGCAGCACAGACACGTCAGGGAATGTTACATAACCATAGCAGAAGGAAATCACGTCCTTTGCAGCAACACGGATGCAGCTGGAGGCTGTTCTCCATATGAATTAACCCAAGAACAGAACACCAGACACCACATGTTCTCACTTAAAAGTGGGAGCTCAACACCGAGTACCTGTAGACGCAAAGACGGCAGCAAGAGACACTGGGGCCTGTGCGAGGTGGAGGCTGGGAGGAGGAGGGTGAGGATTAAAAAACTACCGAGGGTCCTATGCTCGTTACCTGGGTGACAAAACCATCTGCACACCAAAGCCCTGCTACACTCATTACCCGTGTCACGAACTTACACAGGCACCCCGAGCCTAAAAGAAAAGTGGGACAGAAGAAACAGTATAATAAAGTAAGATTTCTCTGCGCTCTATAAAGCAGAAAATAGTTTCTGGCTACTAGCAATCCAAACTGAAATATGCTGAATACACTTAATTTTTAAGATAACCATTTTTGCTATATAAAATATAAATATATATGCACATAAACACATTACAGAACCACTCTGCATGTGTTTAACCCACACAATTATAATGTAAAGAAGGAAGATTACCTATTGAGGCGAAGAAAACGATGGCCAGGAAGTCGCGGATGGGTTCAATGGAGGCGGCGATCTCCTCGGTGACCATGGGGCCCTGAGAGGAGACCAGCGCTCCGGCCAGGAAACAGCCCAGCTCCATGGAGACGTCCAGCAGCTCCGTGACCTGAGAGAGGCAGGACTGAGCTTTACACGAGACCCCACAGTGCACCAGGGTCACCCCCATCCCAAGGATACCCCGAGACCCAGCAGAGCCACCACAAGAAAACACAGAAGCTGCGCAAAGGGAGAGGGTCCTGGGCCCTCTGCTGGTCTCAGAGGTTGACATGTAGAGGCTGCTATTAGTTGAATTAACCTTACCGGGGGAAAAAATTATTTAAAAATATTTGAAACAAATATCCATACAGATTGCACTGAAATTTTTGAATGAGAATATTTTTCAATTGTTTTAAATATTTGTGATACGTTTTCTTTACCTTGAATCAGAATAGCCTGGTGGTAGTGTTAGAAACGCATTCCCGGCCGGGCACGGTGGCTCAAGCCTGTAATCCCAGCACTTTGGGAGGCCGAGACGGGCGGATCACGAGGTCAGGAGATCGAGACCATCCTGGCTGACACAGTGAAACCCCGTCTCTACTAAAAAATACAAAAAACTAGCTGGGCGAGGTGGTGGGCGCCTGTAGTCCCAGCTACTCGGGAGGCTGAGGCAGGAGAATGGCGTGAACCCGGGAGGCGGAGCTTGCAGTGAGCTGAGATCCGGCCACTGCACTCCAGCCTGGGCGACAGAGCGAGACTCCGTCTCAAAAAAAAAAAAAAAAAAAAAAAAAGAAACGCATTCCCACTACCAGCCTCAAAGCAGAGAGAAAGCGACAGGGCGACAAGCAACGGAACTAGGCGGGCACGAAGCCAGAGAGAAGCATTGGCATGTCTGCGGCAGCTGATCTGATAACCCAGATTCGCGGCCACGGCAGAGTGCTGGCTGGACAGCCACGACGCAGGAGCCTCATGGCAGCTCTGTGAAACGCAGGCTTCCGGCAGCCTTGTGGATGAGGCATGGCTGACACCGGCCAACCTGAAAGATGATTTTTATCTTGAGAAAGTAAAATTGCAGACGATAGCAGCATCAGACGAAAAGAAAAGAAACTTGTAAAGAACTACGATTTTTTTTTTTTTTTTTGAGACGGAGTCTCGCTCTTTCGCCCAGGCTGGAGTGCAGTGGCCGGATCTCAGCTCACTGCAAGCTCTGCCTCCCGGGTTCACGCCATTCTCCTGTCTCAGCCTCCCAAGTAGCTGGGACTACAGGCGCCCGCCACCTCGCCCGGCTAGTTTTTCGTATTTTTTAGTAGAGACAGGTTTCACCGGGTTAGCCAGGATGGTCTCGATCTCCTGACCTCGCGATCCGCCCATCTCGGCCTCCCAAAGTGCTGGGATTACAGGCTTGAGCCACCGCACCCGGCCAAGAACTACGATTTTTAACGGCAACAAAAACATCACATCCTGAGGATTCAACCCAAAAGAACACCCGCACCCGACACTGCAAGACACTGAGACCCACGAAAGACGAAAGACTGAGATAACAGGACCACGGGCTCAGCACGGCAGACCGGCGGATGCTCCCTCACGTGGCCGACAGACGCACAGGAACACCAAGAGACTTCTGTGTGTGTGAAACTGACCAGCTGAATCTAAACACTCGAGTGGAATCTGGAAAGAGCACGAATAGAGCCAAGACGACCCTAGCATAGAACAAAGCTGGGCCCAACACAGAGATCAAGCTACGGTGCAGCTGAGGGCAGGTGGACAGAGTCAGAGAGGCATGTGCACACACACACACACGTACCACAGGTACACACATCACACACAAAGCGGACACACACAAACACATACCACATGCATATACACCACACACACACAAAGCACACATGTATGTACGCACACATGCCACACACACATACACACACCACATGCCACACCAAAGTACACACATGCATGCACACACAAACGCATACACATGTACACATGCCACACATAAGGCACATGCATGCATGCCCACATACACAATCACATAAAGCATACCACACACATAGACATGCCACAAAGCACACACACGCAGACCACGTACACACACCACAAAGCATACACGTACACACCATACACAAAGCACATACATGCATGCACACAGGTACACGTCATGCACAAAGCACACACACATGCACATGCACGCACAAACATGGCTACTTGGTTTTTGACAGAGTGACGCTATAGAAGGAGGACAAGAGGTCTTTTCAACGCATGGCATTCAGAAACGCACGTGAATGAAGGAATCCTCATCCACTCCCTCACTTCCAACACAACGGAAGCTCACCCCTGAGTGGACTGCAGAGCTAATGAGAAAAGCACAACAGAACGCTCACTGACAATAGTAAAGAGCATCTTCACAACCCAGGGGCAGGCGGATCTTTCACAGGCACAGAAGACAGCCACGAAGAAAACAATTCATAACTGGATGACGCTGAAATTAAGAACTTCTGTTCATCAAAAGATACCAGTAAGAAAGTGAAAAGCCAAGTCACAGACTGCGAGACATTTGCAAACACGTATCTGACATGCTGGCATGGAATGTTTTTCAGCCATAAAAAGGGGTGAAGTGCTGGTGCGCACGGCGACACAGCCAGGTCTGGAGGGCGTGACGCTAAATGGAAGCCAGACACAGAGGCCCCCATGTGACGTGGCCGGAAGCAGCGGCCCTCAGGGCCGGGAAGTGGCTCCGTGGCCATGAGGAGGTTGGGGGGAGAACTGAGAGCGATGGGGACTCCTTTGGGGAGGTGGATATAATTGGATAGTGGTGATGGTGGCAAAGCATTTTGAATACTGACTTTCAAATGATTAAAATGGCAAATTTTACGTGAATTTCATCTCAGTAAATAAATTTTTAAAAAGGACAAAAAAATCTGCCGACATATAAAAAATAATTCCTACAAATGAGAAGAAAATCCTCACCCTACAGAAGAACGTCCTGGAGGCTTTAATAGGAACACCACCGGGACAACACCCAGATGCCACTGAGCTTCTGAAAGGGCTCGAGGGACTAGTCATTGGGAAGTGGACGCTGGAGCCCCCGTCAGAGCCCTGAGATGCTCCAGACACAGAGCAAGTGCAGGGAGGCTGTGGGGCACGGCATGCTCACAGCACAGCAGCAGGACGGGCTGAGCCTCCGGAAGGGCTCGAGAGACCAGCCATCAGGAAGTGGACACTGGAGCTCCTGTCCGAGCCCCCGTCAGAGCCCTGAGAAGCTCCACACCCGCAGCAAGTGCAGAGAGGCTGTGGGGCACGGCATGCTCATGGCACAGTGGCAAGACAGGCTGGCACTGGCATGGCGACTGTGGGGAAACCCACGTCATGACTAAGGCTGAGCTCCTGTTTACTGTGATCCCTGCAACCAACCTCCACAGGCACCGCACGAGGCTCATCAGCAGTCAGCACCTTCCAAACACACGAGAATGGACAGCGGCTCTATTCGTAACAGCTCTAAATGGAAACGAATCCTAAGACTGAACAGTGGAAAGAATCCATTGTGGCACCTGGTGCAGACGCGCAGAAGGCCCAGCACCCCAAGCGACTGGCAGCAGGTGCAAGGTGAGTGCTGCCCAGTGAGCGAGAAAACCCGAGAGCCGGGGAGAGAGTCACTATAATGGAAGAAGCCACTGGGAGGGCAACACCGAAGTTGTCCAGATAAGACAATTTCACTGGGAGTTATTTTCAAAGAGAAAAATACTCTGGAATGGATAAAGCAATGTAAAAACTTAAATAAGTCACACTCTTGAAATAGTTAAAATCACTACAGCCAGAAGCAAATCATAATTTTCTCCCAAGTTTACAAAATAGTAGCAGGCAATTAAATTATATATAAGAAACAATTTTTGTTAATTTACTTTTTTAAAATGGAAACTTTTTTTTTTTTTAAGACAGAGTCTTGCTCTATCACCTCTGCCTTTGCCTCCTGGGTTCAAGTGATTCTCTTGCCTCAGCCTCCCAAGTATCTGGGACTGCAGGCGTGTGCCAACACGCCCAGGTAATTTTTGTATTCTTAGTAGAGACAGGGTTTCACCATGTTGGCCAAGCTGATCTCGAACTCCTGACCTCAGAAGATCTACCCACCTCGGCCCCCCAAAGTGCTGAGATTACAGGTGTGAGCTACTGCGCCCGGTGGAAACTTTTTTTTTTCCCCCCTGAGACGGAGTCTTGTTGCTCTGTTGCCCAGGCTGGAGTGCAGTGGTGCGATCTCAGTTCACTGCAACCTCTGCCTCCCGGGTTCAAGCAATTCTCCTGCTTCAGCCTCCTGAGTAGCTGGGATTACAGGCGTGTGCCACCACGCCCAGCTAATTTTTGTATTTTTAGTAGAGACGGGGTTTCACCGTGTTGGCCAGGCTGGTCTTAAAACTCCTGACCTCATGATCTGCCTGCCTCAGCCTCCCAAAGTGCGGAGATTATAGGTGTGAGCCACTGTGCCCGGCCGGAAACTTTTTATTTTGAGATAATTATATACTAACCTGCAGTTTTAAGAAATAATACAAAGTCCTCATTACTCTTTAGTTTCCCCAATGGTAATATCTTGCCAAATTTCAGCACAAGACCCCACTCAGGTGCTGATATGGATACAGCGAAGACAGCGAATGCCATCCCCAGCCCCTCCCCAGACCACTCTTCCTCAGTTCCTGGGAACCACGAGCCTTTCCTCAATTTCGTAATCTTCTCACCTCATAAATGTGACACAAAAAGAACCACACAGTATACAGCCTTTGGGGGCTGCCTGCCCACTCTGCACAGTTCTCAGGAGGTGTGTGCTGGTGGTTTTACTGCTGAGTGGCATTCTGTGGTGTGGACATAGCTCAGTTTGTTGAACATTTATTTACCCACTAAAGTACCTTTGGACTGTTTATGGCTAATATGAATAAAGCTGCTATAAACACCTGTGTACAGGCTACTACTGTGTGAACACGGCTTTGTTTCTGTGGGATAAACAGCAGGAAGTGCACCTGCTGGGCTGAACGGTGACGGTGCCCAGGCGCGCTGTCAGGACCACTGAGGCTCTCTATGGGGGTCCAGGAGCATTTCCTGCCACTCTCATGTAAAGACTGTCGTCTCAGTAAGGAGAAGCCCACTTTCCAAAATGAACTTTATTTATTTAACCTTCCACATGGCATAAGTCATACAGTTAATTAGCATGTGAGCAACACAGAGTTAAAAACTGCTTTTCCAAACTTAATTTTGTATTTCAGGTTGCAAGCTATTTGAAAGTTTAAGACAGAGTAGCATGGTTTGATATTAGTGTTTATGGCGCTTTTTATGATCACAGTTTTTTTGTTTTGATATGGGGTCTTGCTCTATCACCCAGGCTGGAGGGCAGTGGTGCGATCACAGCTCCCTGCAGCCTTGACCTCCTGGGCTCAAGCCATCCTCCCAGCTCAGTCTCTCCAGTAGCTGGTACTATAAGTGAGCACAACCATGCCCGGCTAATTTTTCTATTTTTTGTAGAGGAGGGGTTCTCACTATGTTGTCCTGGCTGTTCTCAAACTTCTGAGCTCAAGCGATTCTCCTGCCTTGGCTTCCCCAAATGCTAGGATTACAGGTGTCAGTCACTACACCTGGCCCACAGATTTAATGTAATACTCACAAACAGTATTTTAGCAAAGTGCTTAAGAGTATGAGTCAAGCCAGTTAAACGGGTTTAGCTCATTGTATTACATATTGATGGGTAGTATAAGAAAGTGTGTATAAAATAAAAAATACTAGTAAATGTTTCAAATATTTTTAACCATTATTAAAATGAAAAGGTAAAGAATGGATCACAAGATTTCAGTGAAAGAGATATCAGATTTCATAAATAACACAGTTTGAGAATTACCGTTAACATTAAGAAGATAAAGGCAGACATTCCCAAGATCAGGATTTCTTTGTTCCCCTTGCTTTCCACGTGCAGCTTCCGATAATAGGGTCCAATGAGATACTTCTTTATAACAAGACATAAAAGAAAAACCGCCACTAGCGAAAAAAGAATCTGACCAATCAAAACCAGGATTCGCAGAACTTCCATGACAATGCTAGGAAAGAAAAAAGAAGCGACATGTGATTTCACTTCCAAAACACAGTTCTCTAAAACTCAATGAAATAACCTTTCACTTTTTTTCTTTAACATGCTACAAAATAAATTACCTGAATCACACACATCTTTATTTTCAAATTCAAAAACACCCTATGAATCATACTCATCTCAGAAATTAAGTTACGTTGAGCCAAAGGTAGAAGCTGGATTGGTTTGCAGTCAATACTTTGGGGTGAATACGTATTCTAGGATGTGAAAATTCTTGACTGACGGCGTTCCTATCTCAGCTGATGCCTGATGATAAAATTCCTCGTCAGGCCTCAGCCGCATGCGAAAGTCTCCGTCAGGCAGTGGTTCCTCTCCGTGCCCCACCGCAGTCTCCTGATGGACGAACTCTAGCGACCATCAAGGCACTCCTGATACAGCCACTGAAGTCTGTGTCTGTAGAAAGTAATTCTTTGCTATGTTCCGTTTATAATATACTACCCGGATATCAGAATAGATCACCATCTCAGCCAACGGACTTCCACTATCTGAGGTCTTTACAAATATACCTGTATTTAACCTTAGCCTTCCACCACTCAGGCCACAATTCTGGTGAAAGTTTCCTCGGTGGAAGAAACCTATGATTCCCAAGGGTGTCAGCCTCTGCAGCCTGGCTTAAAGCAGAAGTGCTGGAAACTCAAATCTCAAACTGCCACGATTCCTTGGGGGAATCAGAGCAGAGCTCAGCTTGAAGCAGAAGGATGGAATGAAGGGATCAACAGCAGCCACAGAAGCAAATGTGAGGCAGCGTCCTTCAGAGCCCGCTGCGCCCACGTCTGCGACTCGGAAGGAGGCCCCTTTCTGCAGCCCTGGCAGGAACGGAGACGGACTCACAGCCAAGCAGTCCAGGCCTGCTGCACTCCTGACAGCTTCGTCACACTGCCGGGCCCACATCTGGCCCTGGGCCCAGCACCATGGTCCCTGTCTGGAACGCCACCCCTTCCCCTGCAGCTCCAGTGGCCTCCTCCTGACCCATCTGCTCTCCACACAGAGGCCCAGACAGCTCATCAGGATCCTCCATCAGCTCCTGGACGCTGGGATGGAATCCAGGCTTCTCTGCCCTGCCATGCCCTTCCACTGCCCCAGGCCACCGAGCAGCCCACCCACACAAGCCGCAGAGCCCGCTGCCTGGAAGGTCCCTACCCTAGACTCTTCTCTCCACAGGCTCAGCTGCGTTCCTCAAATTCCAGCCCCGTCTCCAAGGCAGAGCCTGCGCCAGTCTGGAGCTCACTGTTGCTCACCAGCTCACTGCCCCGTCTGAATCATTCGCAGGGTGGTTCCCTGCTGCAGACGTCTTGTCTACCACTCATTTGTTCATCATTCACTCATTCTCTCTCCGAAACACAAGAGCAGCTCCCCACATGGGGAACGTCCTCTGCTGAGCTCACCCTTGCATCCTGGGCCCCTAGAGCACTGTGTGCCACCTGTTATGGCAGCCCGCTGAGAACTGTCCGACCCCCACTGCCACGTCACAGATGAGAACGGGGCAGAGACCAGGTGATCTGCTCCAGGCCACATGCCCAGAGCAGAGCTGGGGACGACCCAGGTGTCTGGCTCCAGGGCCAAGCCCCTAACAGCCACACAAGCTCTCTACAGCCACTGTCCCCAGGGTTTAGATTTAGGTCTCATTCCCCAAAGACTCCCACAGTGTCCATGAAATGCAGTGATGAGGGCTCAGAAAGACGCCAATCAGAAGCCACAGTGCACTCAACTCTGACCTCTTTGAAAGACGATCACCGTCACAAGTTTCTCAGGATTCCGGCTCACCGCCATGCCACCTGCAGGTCCACACGTGTGTGCTGCTCTTGATCTGCACATGTGGGGCGCGCCGTGGCCATGACTGTTCTGGCTGCCTCCTCTCAGCGTGTTTGGACGAGCTTCCCATCAGCACAGCTGATCCGCTGACAGGTGAGGAAGGGCTCCCTCACGGGGTGCACCAGAATTTGCTCAGCCAGATGCAAGGGCTGTCCCGGTTCTCACACGGACTCCATGGCCATCCTGGTTCTTGTGCGCTGCGGTGGTCAAGGGGCCTGTGAGTCTATTGATGGTGGCAGTGGGTGCTCACTAAGGGAGACGGGCACCTCCCACTGTGACAGGTGCTGTCTGGTGGGCTGCCAGGAGGTTGCTCCAATTCCCATCCCAACAATGACACCCAAGGCACCCCACTTCCCAACCTGGGCCCCACCCAGCTTCTAATGGTGCCCAGTCTGATGGGTGGGCAGTGCCATCAGCCTTCTTTGGTGTGAGGGTGGGTGTTTCCTGCTTTACTCAAGTCGAATTACCTGTGAAATATTATGAGGGAAAGAGTTCTTTCCTCTAGGAATGATCAAGGTTAATTCTGAATAAAGCCTAATAAGAAAGCAGAGTTTATCACATTGCAACTAATTTTCTTTCTTTGATATTTTAAATATAAATTTTCCCTGGTTATTAAAATTGAAAGGGAGGTTTTCCCAAATTACAGAAAAGTATATATAGTAGAAAAAACTTACTACAGATCTACTAGTCTACTAGTAGAAAATCATTAACACCTTGTTTTATATATATATAAAACATATGTATATATATTTCTAGTCTATTCATGTTCTTCTATGTCTAATTAAAATAATTAAAAAATATATATATAGATATATATATATTTCTTGAGACGGAGTCTTGCTCTGTCACCCAGGCTCTGGAGTACAGTGGCCCGATCTCAGCTCACTGCAAGCTCCGCCTCCTGGGCTCACGCCATTCTCCTGCCTCAGCCTCCCTAGTAGCTGGGACTATAGGCGCCCGCCACCACGCCCGGCTAATTTTTTTGTGTTTTTAGTAGAGATGGGGTTTCACTATGCTGGCCAGGATGGTCTCGATCTCCTGACCTCGTGATCCGCCTGTCTCAGCCTCCCAAAGTGCTGGGATTACAGGCGTCAGCCACCGTGCCCAGCCAATATCATATATATTTTTAACAGTTATGATATATAATTCACTTACCATACAACTTACCCATTTAAAAGTATTCAATTCAATGGTTTCCAGCATATTCAAAAAGTTACACAACTATTACCACAATCCATGTTAGAATACTTTCATCACCCCAAAAAGAAACCCTGTACCCATTAGCACTCGCTCCCCATCTCCCCCAACCTCCCCAGCCTCTGGCAACCAGTAATTCATTCTCTCTGTACAGACTGGCCTAGTTTGGACGTTGGTATGAATGGAATCACACAGAGTGTGGCCTTTTTGTCCAGTTCTTTCACAAGCATCGTGTTTTCAAGGTTCATCTGTGCTACAGGATGAATCGATGTTTCTGGGCGGCAAGCCACCCAGGTGCCGAGGCAAGAGACTGAGGGCACGAGCTGTTCCAGTGTAATAAAACATATAAAATAAGAATAGTTATACTAGATATAGATCATAGAATTATATATGAATGTCATTAATCATTAGTTTGTAGAAATTACTCTTTATTCCAATATTATAATAATCCTCACTCTACAATCATAACCTAGGAAAAACCAGGCCATATAGAGATAGGGGCTGATAGGGCATAGTGAGAAGCGACCAGAAGACAGGAGTGTGAGCCTTCTGCTATGCCCGGGCAGGGCCACCAGAGGGCTCCCTGGTCTAGCGGTAATGCCAGCGTCAGGGAAGACGCCCATTGCCAAGTGGACCGTGGTCTAGAGGTAGCGTCAGTGTCAAGGAAAAACACCCTCTACTCAGCAGACCCGGAAAGGGAGTCCCCCTTTCCCTGGAGGAGTTCAGAGAAGACTCTGCTCCACCTCTCGTGGTTGTCAGGCCCACCCACAGTTATCCGGAGGCCTAACCGTCTCCCTGAGATGCTGTGCTTCAGTGGTCACACTCCTGGTCCGCCTTCATGTTCCATCCTGTACACCTGGCTCTGCCTTCTAGATAGCAGTAGCAAAGTTAGTGAAAGTACTAAAAACCTCTGATATGAAGAAATAATGGCGTAGGCTGTGTCCTCTCTCTCTGTCTCTCCGCCTTGGTGGCCAAACAGGGAAGGGCCCCTTGTCCAATGGACACGTGACTCACGCAACCTTGTCAATCACTGGAGATGGCTCACACTCCTTACGCTGCCCTTTTGCTTTGTATCCAATAAATAACAGCGCAGCCAGGCATTCGGGGCCACTACCGGTCTCCGCGTCTTCTATCTCTTTGTCTTGTGTCTTTATTTCTACAATCTCTCGTCTCTGCACACAGGGAGAAAAGCCCACTGACCCTGTGGGGCTGGACCCTACAAATGTTCATTCTATGTTATGGCTGAATAATATTCCTTTGTTTGGATATAGTATGTTTTTTATATCCACCTGTTATCTAACTGACATTTGAGTTCTTAATACTTTTTAACTATACGAATAATGCTGCTTGAACATTCATGTACAAGTTTTTCATTGTGGTGAAATTCTCATACCATAAAATGTACCAAGTTAACCATTTCTGAGTGCGTAACTCTGTGGTATCACGTGGATTCACACTGTTGTACCCCCAACACCACCGTGGACCAGTCTTTATGTGGATGTATGTTTTTCTTTCTTGTGGATAACTACCGAGAAGTGAACAGCTGGGTCAGACGGGAGCTCTGTGTTAGCATCATGAGGACTGTGGTCGATAATTCTGATTCTGTTTCTTTTCTTTCTTTTTTTTTTTTTTTTTTTGAGATGGAGTCTTGCTCTGTCGCCCAGGCTGGAGTGCAGTGGCGTAATCTCGGCTTACTGCAACCTCTGCCTCCTGGGTTCAAGTGATTCTCCTGCCTCAGCCTCCCGAGTAGCGGGGAATACAGGCACGTGCCACCATGCCCAGCTAGTTTTTTGTATTTTTAGTGGAGATGGGGTCAGAGTGATCTCAATCTCTTGACCTCATGATCCGCGCCCCCTTGGCCTCCCAAAGTGCTGGGATTACAGGCGTGAGCCACCGCGCCTGGCCTAATTCTGTTTCTTAAGTTTAACAGTATAACAGAGT